CCCCCGGGTTGAAACAGCCGTTGTTCGAACTACAGCGACCCATGTTGGGTGCGGCTTTTTATGTATGGAATCGTCACGTTGTAATTGTGTCCGCGTGTACATGTGGCAACAGGGGAGAGATCAGGCCGCCAGATGCAGATGCCTTGTTTAGCTGGGGCTAACTTCCGGGTGTCCCTCCTGCTGCAGCTACTGACGACAAATGCCCGTTTTATGTTCTTTTTTTTTATTCCAAAAGAAGATGGAGTATGTTGCTAATTTGAATTCGTACATGACTTTGTGGGCAGATGGTTTCTCATGGTAACTTAAAACTGCCTTACCTATGCATTTTTTTAAGCAAAGCGAAGTGCTGTCACTATAGAGCATTAAATTTCACGTAGATTTGATGAAAAGGATTGAGAGCTTATCAACAAATATGTTTATTTAATGTATGTTCGTGTATAACGTATCATAATACCATTATCATGCTCGGGGCTGGTGACTAGTTCGTTATCACAATTTGGATTTCTCGTGGCGAACACGTTGCAATACTGAAGGGGCATATTTTAAAGTATTATTAAAAAATTCAGAACGACCTTCAGTGGCGTATCACGGCCACCACGCTGCCATGTTAGCGTTATTAATTTTATGGAAATAATAAATCACAATAGTGGAATGGTTTTTGCATGTATAATATCGTACGGCTGTACCATAAACCGTTCTTAAAGCAAAGAAGTTAACATCGTAATTTAGATAAACATTACGTGCCTGCAGACGGTTTGGGATCTTGGTTGAGTTGAAGATGTTTTATATTCAACAGAGTTCCCTGTTTGAGACGCAGTAGTGCCCGGTTTAAAACAGTCCTTTCGAGAAGCAGTGTTCCAATAATACTCCACCTGGTTCCAGCCGTATCTTTCTCGGGGTTTGGAGCTACAAGTTTGCAGTATAAGCTCGGTTGCCGACATATTTATTAATGGCTGTAATATTTTCAGTATCCTGTACGTAATATTACCACCTTCCCAAAATAGAAAGCTGAACATTCCTGAGGCCATGCATAGGATGAATGGAATATTCTGGTTGTTCCGTCTTTTATGAATTGGAAAAGTGGCAACGTGGCTTGAGGTCAGCGGGACGTGGGAGGCAAGGAAAGTCTGTCCTGGCGCCGACAGTTACCATGGCAACGATCAAAAACTCGCTTCCAAGTTGTTACGTAAAAGCGGTTGAGATAATATAGGGCAACATTCTCGATACTATCGAAAAATATCGTTGTCATGAAAGGTTTGCTAGTCAAATGTGAAGTTACATCCTCAGCTGATGTAATTATTGAAGCTCGTAGAACGAGCAGGGCCATTTTGGTCTATTTCCAGAGTTCCTCATTGTTGTAACATAAATTTCGTACGTATAGATTGTTGTTTTCGGGGTTGTGACACCAAGTAATCTTGTGGGTTGTGTCCGAGGGACACACTGCCTTCGTCTCGGGTGTAAGTGTGAAGTTGAAGGTGTTGGCGTTACTCCGAGACTAAGGTAATGGACCACTGACATTGTTGATGGAGTCACAAAACAGATGGCCACCATGTACAGTTTCAGCCCCCTGGAAACCTCATCTGATTCGAGTGAGGGTATTGGCTGATGGTTTATAATGCTATTTTATTTACGAACGCAAGTGTGTTTACGTATGTGAATTCTTCCAACTTCACGCACTGATTTTTGTCTCGCTATTAAAGACATTCTGTTCCCAGCATACTATCAAAATTGCTTTTATAATTAAACGTATTGTTTGATATCTGCGTAGAAAATTGTCGGGCGTATTTAATTTTGGTTAGGCTCGATTCTTTATTTACGTGTAACCCAAATGTTTCCAAATAAG